TTTTTACGAAAGTTTGCCAGCGCTCGGCACACTCATACATTTGTACTGCTAATTAAAGTACCAGATTTAATGTGACAAGAACTTATAGGCAAACATAACAAACACACAAAACTAAAGGAAAATAGATTTCAAAGTGTGAGGGGAGCAACTATCAACGATTGCACAATCTGGATATCGGTGAGTTTTAGCGCACCCGTCTTCTTAAAGGCGGGACAAATGGCATGATGGTTTGACTGGGGTATCTAGAGTGTACACGAATTTTTAATCTAGTTATAAGGATAGGGCAATCAACCTGATTCTTAAATATCTCAAACTTATATATCGCAAACGATATATATTTTACCATCTGATTTCTTTATTTGTTCCGTGATGAAGTTGTTTTCTTAATAGGCCCTTAATGTGCCAGCCGTCTCTGCCTGAGGCATAGTGTCGATTATATAAATAATTCCAGTTTCCACACGATGTCTTGAGTGGGTGGGTAACAAGAGCTCAGTGTCGGTTTCATTCGGCCTACCCTTTTACCTTACAAGTTAATTTTTAAATCTTTAAAGCCTAAAAAATAAATACGAAATAATAGACTGTCTTGATAAAATAGTCATTTTTAGCCTTCATAGCAGGGTCTAGATTAAATGTGTTTAATTTCGTAGGGATACAATGCTTTCTTTTTTCACAGATATATTCAAATATGCACCTGTAGTTACTCTGATTTCGTTTCTTTCATTTATATTTTTTTAAAACAAATAGGTCTTGTTTCTCGGTAATAGTATTGTGTTCGTAAGCGCACTTTGAATAAAGTGGGTTATCCCCCGTCCATGGACACCTGCAATGCCGGCTGCTTGCGGGTGTATTGCCAATCTCTCAGGAAATGGTACGCTCTTTTCTTGAAGGCCCCTAAGTCATATTGGTTTGGATATACCTCTTCTGACAGCTGGATCCACAAAGAGGTGGTGCGTGGCAGAAAGTGGCGCGGTAGAGAGGACGGTTTTTCCACAATTAAGAAATACGTGCAAAAGTAAGCACCGCCAACTTTATAATCATTTAAATTGTTCGTATAACACATATCGTGTATGTTGTAATCAGTTTACGATAATAATTAATCAAGTCTTTATAGTTAAATGTAGGACTCATAGTGAGCAGCGGCCTAGTTGCTTGAACATGTGACCCTTATCCCCTTAAGGGCATAGGTATAAACTTCGCCTTGCATTTATTGAATTTTGGCGTTAAACACTCACTCCTATGTTGAAGGACAACCGTGAGGATTTTGGTATGTATGGTATGTTAGGTAATCGGTGAGTCAGGCACAGGAGGCTGATCAATTACCAATTAGAAATTGAAGCCCACGACCATAATGGTGCCACCACACCATTTTATTGTGAATCGCACCATTTTAAATTTAATCCCATAATTTTTTGTTAAATAGGAAGTAGGATGTTTCCCAGAAATAAAACCAAATTTCAGATTATAAATTTATTTCGTACATTACCGCGAACGAAATACTGATGTTAATTGAAAACTTTTTCTATTTCAACTGCATCTAACTGTAACGGTGTAACTTTGAAAATAACTTGTGGATATTTACATGCAACGTTATTTTGAAATAATAAAATTCATTGATATCAAATCCAATTTCCTAATTACTCTAATATAAATATTTGAATTTTGTACTATTTTTATTGAAATTAAAATATTCTTGACAAACTATTTCAAATACAGAGAGGTTTTTCAAATAGCATTACATATAAGGACTTATGTAGAAATAGAAAAAAACACACAAAGTTCTCATAACTTACTTAATAACTTGATCATCTTTAAACAATTTAATTATATATACAAAATAAATTTAAACAAATTTGGCAAATACTTTTAAAGAAATCACATTTGCAAGAAGTAAAATGACGAAAATACGTTAAATCATCAAATAATATATAAAAACTTCTCTAATGGTGCTCCCACATTGCCGTTAGAAAATGTTTGAAAACATAAAAACATTCACTAACAAATGTTGTCAATTGTTACATTTTGTTAGGAACTGTTACATGTTATAATTGCTCCTATACTAATAGAAAATGTTTACTAACATTTTATAACATTTAAATCTGGTATTGGCTCGCAGTATGGTTTGCGTTCTGAGGGCGTCTACACGAAAATGGAAGAGGATTTGCTCATTGGAATCAATTTTGTTATCATTTGTTAACTTGTTACTAAACATTTTCTAACATGAAAACATTTTTTAACATTTGTGATTAAATGTTTGCTAACAAATGTTTACTCACGTTACTAAACATTTTCTAACGGCAATGTGGGAGTACCATAATAGAATACATTCGAAATACAAAGAAACATGCACATACAAAAATAATAATGGTTCATAGATCGGGGTCTAAGGAAGCTCTATGTAATTGGAACACTTATAATTTAGTTACATAATTTCTGTATCTATATCTCTACAGTATAAATTATAAATCACCTAAGACTTAAATAAATAACAATAGGACTATCTAGAGATGTATATTGTATATACATTACATGTGGCACAGACTACAATTAATTAATTTATGAAATGTCAAGACGTAAGACGTGTATTTTAGGACTAAAAGACAGGCATGGATCCAGCATTGGTTAGTAAAATCTATGCTAAATCATGATGCCTCATATTCATTCTAAAATTCCTTAATGGGAATGGTATTTTATGTAAACTGAGAGTCACTTGGACGATTTAGTTAGTCCGGACCACAACCTTTTAGGGCTGAATCCGCGCTTGACGATATTACTTAAACAAATTATATTGCACAAACGTTTGCACAAAATCAAACGTATATCCCTTGATTTCTCGATAATCTTTTTAACAGTATAACGTGTCGGTATACCTTGTTCACAAAGAATTGTGTATTCCATAGCTGTCTTAACGTATCGAAGATATTTATGGAAGAATATAGTTTTAATAAAACCATGTACAGGAGGCCTACCATGAGCTGAGATTCATCAGCATCTCCGCATCAGTTCAGGTACCATGACCTATAAACTGAACGTATTGGAAGCGCAAGACCGAACGAAAGAACGATAATTTTGTTTGTAGTTCCTATGTAATTTTTAAAATTTATCTGTCAACCTTGCTATAATCTAAATGATTCTATAATAAAAATCTAAAAATTATTTTAAATAATTCGACGCTGGAATAATATCCGTGCTGGTTTATTCGACATCATGGTATGAATAAGCGTTGCATCTCAGTTGTAGGTTCTCAGAAGGAGCTCATGGTAGCGAAATGGCATCGATGTGTTGCTTAAAACGACAAATTTGACATTTCAATACGTTTATATGATACATACGTTTCAAATTGAATTATAGCACTTTTATAGAATCAATCATCGTTAATTCAAGAGAACCCTACACATAATAGAATACAACATTAACGATATTATAAAAAAACTCTAAAAAAGAATATTAATATTGAAACGAACAAAATTAAACCATTTACCATAAACAATGATTACGTTTTAACACAAATAAAATTAAAAGCTTAACATTTCCCTAGGTTGTCATTTATATTTTAACGCACACAACGACTTTTATAATTAAATATTTGCTGTAAAAAAACACAAATAAGATTTATATAACATTACATTAATCATCTACTGACTAAGGAATTATTTAAACGATATTTTATTCTAATGTGGTGTTTTCAAATAAGACTATTATAATTCTTTGATCTACATTAATGATTATTATTTAATATATAAATTACATAAGGCACTCCAATTCTGTTTCATAGAAAGTGGCTGTCCTACCACCCATTTTTCTACAAAAACCGAAGACCCTTGGAAGTTCTTTTAATACAGACTTGATGAAAATAAAACTGAATAGTAGCCAAACTCCAATTTGAGCAAAAAAATTAAAATAAAAGACCTACTTTTCCACAAGTATTCTGATGGGTTGGCGGTTACTCTCTAAAACCATACTATGACAAATTACATTAACTGTAGAGGTCACCAAAATTGTACCAATAAATCTATGACTGGAGAAGAGTTAAACGTAATCCTTATTTCCTATTTTACACCTATCATTTCAGAATATTAAGAAATAATCCACAATACTCCCGAATTTTCTAAGTGACTGGCTGAAAAAGTGCCATAACTCACGGAATTCTTACTATGACACTACAATAAATTTTTGGACCCTTATTCTTTAATTAAAAAGCCGCTCCTATTCGAAAATGTTTTATTAAAATTTTGACTAGCTAGGTTTGCTATGCTTGTGATTTGTAGCTGTACCTAAGGATTATTTAATTTAGAGGTTGAAGTCCGCGCGACGTCTTTTGAACCCCGATACTTGAAAGGTCATAAGAGAGATGCTTATACGTGTTATTTAATGAACCTATAGCTAAGTAATTTGAAATATGAGAGACTGGTATAGAATTTAGAATCAATATTGATTGTCAGAGCATCTGTATAAACGAATTATTCTAAATTCAATTTACATATTTCTAGCGTCCATTAAAACTTTATAAAATTTTTTCGAGTGATGCATTCGTCCGTCGCGTGATCTTACGCGGTCGTGTATAATTCTCTAAACGTTGGTCCCTATATTACTATTGTAAATAATAACTTTATGATCTGTAACGAGAATGGGGCGACGCCGCGCGACTCACGGCCAACGCCGATTAAAGGCACATTGAATTATGTAATACATTTTCTACATTTTTCGCATAATCATTCGCAATAGGTACCTAGATGAACGAAAACATCCCCGCAGACAGAGTTCTTCTAGAACTTACAGGGAATAACGAATACGATGGTAACAATAATAACTTCTATTAACTAAAAACTCACACCACTATATCATTTCTCATACACATTTAACTATTTTATCACATAACTAGTTCTATGATATCGCATAGATACCGAGAGCGTCGGTTTGGCAACTTGGTGCTGAATCGAGGTTTATTTTCCTAAGGCAATTATAATGCCCAAAAATTTAACTAGAGCGAATATATCCTTACGTTAAAAGGTATCTTCGCATTTTATTTCTTTGACGGGTGGCGTCCACTGGTCGGATGAGCCTTCCCAATCGCCAAATGGCTCGAACGCGAAGTTTTCACACTCGTCTGTTTCGTGCGCCAGGTCCGCTCGACTAAACGCCTCCGCGAACTTTCCTATTTCGGTGGAGCCAAAAGCTTGTTGAAACGCTGGCAATGGCACCACTGGAGGACGCACCACTTCAGGTGGGCGAGTTTCGATAGTTTCCCGCACTGGTTGTGGGACTTCTGCTGGTGGGACTCGCATTGGAAAGTCATTGCTACCGCGCTTGCTTTCATAGCCTGTGTCGTAAACAGGATATGGTGTGGATCGGCCATCGTGTGTGATGTGGTTTTGGGTGTTCTGAAAATTAGATTCGATTAATGAATAGGGTTCATAACCTATATAAATACAACGTTGCGAAACGTCTCACGAGTGGCTTTTAGATATTCATTTTTATATATGTATAAAATTCTCGTGTCACAAAATGTTCGTTCCCATACTCCTCCGAAACGGCTCTGAAATCGGCCATCTTTCTTTCAAACCCCTAAATGGGTGGTCCACCCTTACATTTCTTTTTTTTTTATTTGCTTATAGCATCATACATAAATACATACAACCCTTAATTTTCACCCCTATTTTTTATTTGTTAATTAAAATCTTATGACTTGAACCCTGAGGTTTATATAGAGAAAAATTCACAGAAAAACCTAAAAAGTTTCATTCCAGAAAACCGAACTGTCTCTGGGGTAGCATAGCAAAATGTTCCATGTTGGTATGTACTTGTACTAAAAAGGTAGGCTAAGTAAAATCACATTAAGGAGAAACGAAGTTTGCGGGGACAGCCAGTTTTTATATATAATCTGTTAATTTATTTAATATTTACCTGCATTAACCGACAATCCGGTCCATAACGCATCGATTCCCGTGAACACATGTTCTGTGGAACTCGCGAAGGCCACACGCCACCATTGGTGCCGTTCCAACCACTCCCTGCTAGCACACCCATCTATACCAAAATTAATTATTAAATTGTTACAATAAACTAATAATACGCATTTAATGTTAAAACAAAATGTGTTGTCCGAACCCGAATCAGTTTTGCAAACCCAAAAGCTTGGGAAAAGTTGTCTACGACAGTTCTGTTACCAAGCATTCTTTATAACGACTGTATGTTTTAAAAATTATTCTAGATAATTACTTTTTCGCTTTCTATTAAAACATCATCAATTAGCTTGCATTTTATTATTAAATTAATCACAACGAGTAATTGATTACTCGACTAATGTTTAATTGTTTACTTTTTTTTATAGAATAGGGGACAAATGGGCAGGAGGCTCACATGATGTTAAGTGAACCCAGCCCATGGACACTCTCAATGGCTGAATGGCTCGCGAATGCATTGTCGGTCTTTTAAGAATTGGTACGCACTTTTCTTGAAGGACCCTAAGTCGAAATGGTTTGGAAATACTTCACTCCTTATACTACAGAAAGCTTGGGTTGTCTTTGGCTCGTGATAGCTAATTGAAACCGGTGTCTTGGACTCACAATGGTACAAACTTTTTTGGACTAATTATATTTACCTGATAATGTGGCCAAACATGCGGCTCGCAGTACCCATGACCTCGATTGGTCATTCCGCATTCTAGTGGTGGCTGAAATAATGAACGATCGATTATATATCCGCTTCATTAGTGCATATGGTCCAAACAAAGCTTTAATTAAGTACCGTGCATAACTGATATTCTTACTTTTGGTAGTTCAGTATTGTTATAATATCAGGTGTTAGAGTTTTTCATTATTATTATATAATGAGTCAGTCATATTATAGTCACTCAATGGACACCTCACTACAACACCAAGCGAAGGATAGGAAGACCATGTGCGAAGTGGGCTGATGTCTTTAAAAAAGCCACCGGTCCTCTGTGGCAAAGACTTGCCAGGGATAGGGAAGCACTGGAAACATGGAGAAGGCCTTTGTGCCACAAAGGCAAGCTGTACAAGAGGACAGCTGTGCAACAAAACCTTCTTAAAGAACTTTTTTTTATATACATATAAATTTTTGTAAACTTTCTCTTGTATTAGTTGTAATAAAGGCTTTGAAATTTGAATTATATAGTCAAGGCAATTTTTGATGTTTATATATAGGGGAAGATCGTTACCCTTCGTACGCGGGGCACATTCATACAGTCAAAATAAAACTTGAACGAAATAAAGTACAGTCTTGCTTTTGTATGTGTGCATGAGTCGAGGTACCAACTATACATCAACGAAGTTTCGTGAAATTCGCACCGATGAGAGTGAAGTTACAGGCATAGACGTGTTTTCGCGCTCGGTAAGTAATTTTTTGATCTATGTTTTTATCTCTTGTTACCGTAGATAAAATAAGTTTTCGTGTAGAGTATTCTATCAGTAACTAGCAAAATATACTTAAGATACGTCTCCAATACTTAATTTATGACGTTTTCCTATTAATATTAAAATAAGTTATATTTTGTTGTTATTCAGTTAGTGGGGTACATTCGGACAGCACTAGATGGGGCACATTTGTACGAATTGTACAACTAAATTTGTATAATAATTTGTCGACGCGAACTGTCTTTTTCATTCAAATTAAGTTTTCGACTTTCTACATATTACACTACTGTTAAGGCATCTTGACTAAGGTTGATTTTGATGCTTGTGAACCAGATGCTGTGAATAATTTACCAATCCATCAAATAGTAGTTCCTTCGAAGTCAGTTTTGACACCAGAGGCATTTCGACCCTATTCGCATTCTGTAAGAAGTAATAAAACAAGCAAAATGACGATGACGGCCAGGAAAACCACGAATTTATACTGCCACACCCGAAAATAAGAAGTTGTAATCCACACCAAAGAGTAAAAAAATGTAATTCTAAATTTAAGATACCTAACTAATTAAATTTTGTTTTACATAAGAAAAGTATTTTATTTTTGTTTAATAGAAATTAAATCTTTATTTTTGTGTTTAATTTCATTGCTAATAAATGAATTTTGAACTACCCCACAGCGTAAGAAGGTACCCCAAACACTGTACGAAGGTGCCCCGTTGATGGGGCAGATTCGTACGTTTTCCAGATTTAGTTTAAATCATAATTATGGTTGAAACATCGGATGAAATCATTTGTCATTTTTTTATTTGAATCTCAGATAGTTAGACTATAAATTTAAGCTATCAGGTGATTGATTCATGGAAAAATAAAAAAAATAAAAAATAAAATGTGAAAACCGTACGAAGGGTCCCCACCTTCCCCTACGTAATATTGTACCAAAACTTTAAGTATTTTTAAATTAAACTACAAACTATTTACGCCGCATACTTTCCATATTGAAAGCTCGTTTTGCAAATACCAGTGATGTATGCTCATATTTTGAGTAGTAAACAAATTTAATTTACGTACACAAATCGCGAAATAGCCTCTACGCCGTTCAGGTCTTTCGTATCGATTGAGCTACGCGTGACGTAGCACGCTTACGCGCCGTATCATTGTACACACGGCCAACGAATTCATATAACTATCATATTACAGATAGGACAGATTATTGAAACTAAATTTACTTATGTTTTTATATAAGGGTCTGCTTCACCCAGTCAGAAAATCCGTCCGTTGTCTTTCAGGCCTTTACTCTGTTAGAGGTCAATTCCACAACTAACACGTAGCTTTTATAAAAGTACCGTCAATTCTATATAAAATCGCTCTAAATAGCTTTCGCTTATTTCTGTAAAATAGACAAAGATATGTTCACTTTTACCTATAAATTCATGTAATAATAATTACATACAATCCTTTTTCCCAATTATTTTAAGTGCATTATTAGATTTTTTGTGTGTTTTTAAGCTGGCAAAAACGTCTACACTGCAATAAATTATGCCATATCACAATATGTGTATCAATTTAACACATACTACCGTGATATTTTCTAACTAAGACATAGTTATATCACCAACGTTATAAATTTAAATTTATACAATATTGATGTGTTATGTTTTTAACTAGTGTATAAATCTTTTAACTTAATAGGATCTGATATTCTGGCAGTTAAGGTTGCTTAAGGTTTTGGGGAGAAATAGATGGAGAAAGCCAAGAACAGTTCCAAATTGAAAGTTGAATAGGAGGCCTTTACACAAATGGATTCCATACGGCAGAACAACACTAACTTACGTAGACTAAAACTAACACCCATTTGATGTGTAATTTTTAACAATACGGAATTGAAGTGGCTTTTATTATTATTATATTATTCTGCCAGTTGTTTTGCTAATGAATTACTATAAGTAGGCAACAAATCCAGGAACACCAAGTTATCAAACTTTCCCGTTAATAACTGAGCTATGGAGTTCTAGTGTTATATTAAGTATACTTCCATGAATTAAAACGCGTTTCTCTATAAGTATCACGGTGTGCGAATATAAGACGATATTGATTTTCTTACGTAAAAACAATAGCATACTCACGGCCAACACAAACAAACGAGGATCGAACTGGCGACCTACTTGTTTAGAAATCAATAGGGAGTGAGCAAACTAGGTACATCCTTAAAACATTGCCATTTCTTCAAAGAATTTCGCAATGACAAGTTTTGTTATAATTTTGAATAAAGAATTCGATTTGTTAGCTGCCGAAATCCATAAGAGGATTGTTGTAATGTTTTTATTGATTCTGAGTTAATATAAATTAAGTGTTAAATTTGGTATAACATAATATTGCCATTTCTTCAAAGATTTTGGCAATGACAGGTTTTGATCTAATTTTGAATAAAGAATTCGATTTGTTAGCTGCCGAAATCCATAAGAGGATTGTTGTAATGTTTTTATTGATTCTGAGTTAATATAAATTAAGTGTTAAATTTGGTATAACATAATATTGCCATTTCTTCAAAGATTTTGGCAATGACAGGTTTTGATCTAATTTTGAATAAAGAATTCGATTTGTTAGCTGCCGAAATCCATAAGAGGATTGTTGTAATGTTTTTATTGATTCTGAGTTAATATAAATTAAGTGTTAAATTTGGTATAACATAATATTGCCATTTCTTCAAAGATTTTGGCAATGACAGGGTTTGATCTAATTTTGAATAAAGAATTCGATTTGTTAGCTGCCGAAATCCATAAGAGGATTGTTGTAATGTTTTTATTGATTCTGAGTTAATATAAATTAAGTGTTTAATTTGGTATAACATAATATTGCCATTTCTTCAAAGATTTTGGCAATGACAGGTTTTGATCTAATTTTGAATACAGAATTCGATTTGTTAGCTGCCGAAATCCATAAGAGGATTGTTGTAATGTTTTTATTGATTCTGAGTTAATATAAATTAAGTGTTAAATTTGGTATAACATAATATTGCCATTTCTTCAAAGATTTTGGCAATGACAGGTTTTGATCTAATTTTGAATAAAGAATTCGATTTGTTAGCTGCCGAAATCCATAAGAGGATTGTTGTAATGTTTTTATTGATTCTGAGTTAATATAAATTAAGTGTTAAATTTGGTATAACATAATATTGCCATTTCTTCAAAGATTTTGGCAATGACAGGTTTTGATCTTATTTTGAATAAAGAATTCGATTTGTTAGCTGCCGAAATCCATAAGAGGATTGTTGTAATGTTTTTATTGATTCTGAGTTAATATAAATTAAGTGTTAAATTTGGTATAACATAATATTGCCATTTCTTCAAAGATTTTGGCAATGACAGGGTTTGATCTAATTTTGAATAAAGAATTCGATTTGTTAGCTGCCGAAATCCATAAGAGGATTGTTGTAATGTTTTTATTGATTCTGAGTTAATATAAATTAAGTGTTTAATTTGGTATAACATAATATTGCCATTTCTTCAAAGATTTTGGCAATGACAGGTTTTGATCTAATTTTGAATACAGAATTCGATTTGTTAGCTGCCGAAATCCATAAGAGGATTGTTGTAATGTTTTTATTGATTCTGAGTTAATATAAATTAAGTGTTAAATTTGGTATAACATAATATTGCCATTTCTTCAAAGATTTTGGCAATGACAGGTTTTGATCTAATTTTGAATAAAGAATTCGATTTGTTAGCTGCCGAAATCCATAAGAGGATTGTTGTAATGTTTTTATTGATTCTGAGTTAATATAAATTAAGTGTTAAATTTGGTATAACATAATATTGCCATTTCTTCAAAGATTTTGGCAATGACAGGTTTTGATCTTATTTTGAATAAAGAATTCGATTTGTTCGCTGCCGAAATTCTTAAGATGATTGTTGTAATGTTTTTTTGATTCTGAGTTTAATATAGAGCGTTAAATTTAGTATAGAACTAATCTTTTTTGTATATTAATAATTATCGGCATCCGAATTAATAAAAATAATCACAAAGTTTACTAAAATATCTATTACAATTGTCCAGTGTCGCCTCAGACAAATGTGTATGAGAGGGTCATTCTCGCAAGATGTTAGAGGCTTCGCAAGATTCCCTTTTGTTATGACGTAAGGCTGTATATAACGTATAAGGTTGTGGGGCGCGCGCCGCGATCAATGTTCGCTCCCTCTGCACTTCTGCGTTGCAGTAACTGCATCCATCATCTTACCTATATAAACTCTATGTATGTAAATGTTTTTTTTGTTTTGTATTAGCTTAAACGTTGGCAACTTTTCTTACATGAATTTCGATATTACTTTGCATGAAATAAAAGGTTTAAAGTTGAGATATTTATTGTACTATTTGTTTTAGATTTTGAAGCATATTTTAATACCTTAATATTGACAGAAAGATATTTTAGGTTATTATTGCTGGTTATTAGTATTATAAAATATATTTTAGATAAAGATAATATTTATATTTACATTCATATTCTTCTTTACTTCTCTTTAACTATTTGTTCAGGTAAACTTTTAATAAATTTCAATGTCAAGAAGTAAGTGAATCAAATAATAATAATAAAATTTGCTTATCGTGCGAATTATATAGTTAAGATTTGATATACATAAAATTTATAGCTTGCAAAAAATATAAATATATATTTAGAATTACAATTAATCAAGCATAAATAACAAGATGTATGAGTGCGTAATTTACATAATTAATATCCAAGAACTGGCGTCTTATTGATATATAACTTAGACATTGTAAAATAGCTAAGCTGCTATACGTAGCAGGTACGTGGAGTAGTGGCGGGAGATTTGCAGGCTAACTATCGAGCGGGGAGCAGTGCAAAACCACGTGACTTATCGATCAGCGCGCCCACGACACTCGGAAAAATCAACCGCTGACAGCTTTCATGGGCCACCGCCGTCACCCCCCCAACACCCCGCGAACCCCCTACGTCCTCATTAGCGCTTTTGTGCCGCTCACTTGTCTCATAATCTGGCGCCATAATCATACCTCCAAATATACCAATTCCGTATTCCAATTGCAACCAGATAACCCATTTGATTTATTTATTGGACTATCTGACACGTCCTTGATAAATAGATTGTAAGAGAAATAATTTTTGAGATGTTTTTCTATTGAAGAAAGTTGAAATTAAACTTACAAATTAGTGAATAAAGTGATGACATACCCGCGTAAATATTAATTTAAAAAAATATTGTATTTGAAAAAAATATTTTGCCGTATATTATTAGGTGTTTTTCTATTGAAGTAAGTTGAAATTAAATTTACAAATTAGTGTATATAGTGAAGACATTCCCACGTAAATATTGAATTTTATTCACGTCAAAAAACTGCTTTTATTTTACGATATTCAATGTTGTTACTGAATCAATATATAAAAACCTTTTCAAAATCAATAGGTAGAATTAATAATTTTGTATGCATTTTTATCTATTCCAACAAAATGTCAATGACCTGTACGGGACTTTTGAACTTGGAAGTTTTTCGAAATTGGCGCTACAGAACCAATACCGCTAACTTTTAGAACTTTGCATGTCAGATAAATAGGAGCTTTACGCGCGTTGCGTACGATTGATAACTGAGAACATAAAGGAAGCCACGAAGGAATGTAGACAGTCTGACACTGACCTACATATTTCAACTGGACGCCCCGTAATGCTTTAATATTATGTTCACTTTATTAAATACAGGATGAACCGTTTGTATCCCTTTGGTATCAAACAGTACATTTTTCCAAATCAAATTTTACGTGTACAATGTTTTGTTTTATTGTTATATAAAATAAGTGTTGGTTTGCTCATCTATTATAACTTTTTGATGAAGATTTTAGTTAATGAAATCCCTAAAATCAGAATATTGTTCACAGTATGTAGCTGTATTCGACTTCAAATTATGATAGTCATATGAACTTTAACTTAAGAGATTAAAAATAATATTTCAAAAATAAAACGTAAACTTAAAGGAAAAAAATATCATTTATTTTTATTGCAAACCAAACTATTGTCTGTGGTATATATAATCTAATATATCTACTTTCAATAGATTAAAGTTTAAATAGAATTTGCGTGCTAAAAATATTTTTTTATTATAGATTATCATAACAAATCAGAAATAGTCACATAAAGAAGTTCATTCAGAAATCGTAGCCAGTTCTGTAACTTTAATGTATGAGAGAAATAAACTTGACAGGCACTTTCACTTGCTAGTAATAGCATGAACAAAAATACACTGAATTTAATTTTAGCATCCCGACAGTGCCGAGTTCATGAGATTGCAAAGTTGCATAGATGATAGTGGCCTTGAACGTAATGTAAATAAATACAATTTACATTTACGCTGATTACTACATGATGTAAAATGCTTAATACATGATGGTATTTACTTCCAATGTTTAGTGGTTAATGTATGCGTATACGCAGATAATGTGCAGCAGAAAACAACAATTAAAGTGATCAATGAAATAGGTGCTGGTATGTGTTATTGAGTTCTTATACTATAAACAAATGAACATCTTATAATTATAAATTACTTGTGTAATTGTTAGTGAATAATGTCTAGTAAGTAATATCTATAAAGACAACAGGAACATTAAATTTCTAATATATTTTATGATTTACTTTATATTTTATCTACTCATAGGTAAATTGTTTATGTGTACTAAAAATAGGTATTTAATTCCGACATATAGAATGCTTCTATATAGTATTTATGTTAAAACGTATCTTACCGTATGCGACACAGGAAATTGTTGTAGTGCAGGATGAATACGCTGTTCTCTGCGAGTGAGTGCCCTTCGTCCTCGTGATTCTTTCAGCGCGTACGCACCATAATCTGCATAAACATATATATAATAAGACCCAGCAGACATTCAAGTTACAAATATTCAGTAACAAACAATAACCATAATTAGGTTTTTGTTTAAAAATCTTTTACGAACAATTAGAAAGCCTTATTGTAAGAAGTCGGTAAAGTTTTTCTCAAGTTACGGCGTGACCAAGGGAAATAAGGATTCATTTATTTTGGTTCAGTAAATAGAAAAAATATTGAAACAGAAAATGTGCTCTTCTATGCTTGGACCAGGATTATAAGGTTCACGGTTTATATGTAAACGGGTAATAAACACTCTTGTAGATACATATATTTTGCGAAATTGTATAAGGTTATTTATGACGTAACTCTGTATATATAAACTATACATGAGAGCTGATACCCTAACACAGGTATCTCTTACTTATAAGATATTTTTTTTAAATATTTGCATTAAACTTATAGCGAGTTAACATATTTTTTTATTATTATTAATATTTGTAGAATGAGGTAAGCGAAGATTTTAAGTGTAGTTGAGAATAGATTTGAAGATGGTATTTTGTTTACTAAAATATTCCCGGGCATTATTTTTACGAAAAAGTAGCCCCAAAGCCCTTTGCAATCTTAGAAATTTCAATACAAATCGCTTATACAGATAGTAAATTACACGGAAAAATGCGATATGCATAATCATAACTATTTTACATAATCTTTATGAATTAAACGAAGCATGGAGATTTAATTGTTGCTCTATTTAAATGTAGATATCATAATATATGTCATGGTTCAAGTTATTGCGATTTTATGATCGGTATCTTTGGCTAAAGATACCATGATACGTTTAGGCAACATCTGGAAGAAAAGAGGAATTTGTATCATAACTAAAATAACACTGATACAGGCTCAAGCATTCCCTATCTTTCTATATGAAGTTCCCTATCTTGGCTCGAGAAAGCTAAAAGATCGATGCCTTTGAGATGTGGTGGACTCTCCTGTCCACCATATGCTGACAGCGAATTCTATCTTATTTCGGCCATACAATGCGCAGAGGTATAGGAACTTGGAGAAACTGATCGTGGTTGGTAATAGAGAAGGCAAAAGATCACGTGGCCCTTTACCAACCAGATATACCGATCAAGTGAAAGACTCATCGTCCTCAAAATTACACTGCCATAAGAGAGGCGCTGGACAGACACCGGTGGAAACAGATTATCCGCTCCAGGTCCTTGCTGACCACAACTCTCAGACATAAGCTGCCGATTGAAGAGAGAGACCTTTATAAAGAGTTATATGCCCATTGAAATGTTCATAGTATCGCTTCAAAATACGTCATATTATACGAAATAGATAAACTTCGTAGCGTGAAGCAACGCGGGCGATAGGCGCCCGGTCAATATGTAGAGTGGCTGTGCGCCGTGCAAGCAATCAATCCGACGCGGGTACCACCTGTAGAGCCTACCCCCCGCCGTCCGACCCTCCCCTCCACCCGCCCGCCTTCGGATCGACACGTGACGTAGACGCTGAGAAATCCGCCCAAACGTAAACATTAATTCTTACTTCATTCTTCATTGTTCAGAATGTCGCGCGCGTGCGGTATCCATTATTGGTAAACAAACTTTGCAACTGAACTGATTACACTGAACGCGTATGACCACATACCAGCGATGTTTGTAATTCAATTATAAGCGAGGAATTAGTGGTAGAGGAATTGATTTTCTGTGTCGGATTTTATGTCATAACTACTTGCTAACGCATGTGTATGATATATAAACTATGCTTTAGAATTATTATGTATTATAAGTCCCGCAAACTGTAGCGCTTATCGCCGGACATAGAATCTAGGACATCGAACGCACAGCCATAACGCAGTCATTTATTATCAAAAAGTTTTCAGTTTAAATGAAAGCATAAATGTTTATATATTTTGTGTTTCTTTTTTTTTACTTTTTAGATTATATATTTACAAACTTTGCTTACCTTCTTTAGAATTAATCTAAATTGTATAGTAATTTATATGCTGGAAATATATTTTTATTAAATAAATATTACACAATTAATAACTGCGACTCGTTTTTAATAATATTGATATGTCAGTGTAGAGCTAGATTTTAGATAAATATTATCATAGGTTCTAATATTAAGGATAGTACTTCGAGAATCAATCATGATATAATAACTGCTTCACACCTGAACTACTAACTAAAATTACTAACACTACTAAAATTTTTATGTAGATTAAACCATTTATGAAATTATTATTTATTCGTATAAATATTTGTCTTGCGTACAATATGTACAGAATGGTTAACATTTTTATATTCAGTCCTATTAAAAATTAGTTTTTCTTATAAACAAATTACCCATTATATTAATTAATTAAATCCTTACAGGTGTACCCATATACAGAAAGTGATAAAAATAAATTAGTCTAGTAATTCTACCACTCTATGTTAGTCTAGGATACCAACCCATTGGCATAGCGTGTTCAGCATGATGCGCGTGCGGCGTAGGATAGTCGTAGCGGTAGTAACGTGCATAGTCGTGCGCGTGCGGGTAGTAAGGCGGGTAAGGCGAGGGCTGGGGCGCGTAAGGCGGCGCAGCGTAGCGACCGCCCGCCCAGCCTGCGCCCGCGCCGAGCGGTCCCCACTTGCAGCAATCCATTTCCGCGGACTATGCCGCCAGCCACGTAAACCCGCATCCGCTCGTCCGCATTTCTACACAAATTTAAATCCACATTCGCCGCATATTAATCTATGAAAGTTTTGAAAAGTTTCAAATACTACTGCAACGCGGAGATCGAACGCAGTTTCGCGGCGGGAAACGATCGCGGGTGCGACGTTAGTTAGCGGAAAGAGGTCGTTCGAGTTTGCCGGCGTGGAGGCGAGGCTGGCTGCGCGGCGCGGCGCGGGACGTGCGGGGCCCGGGGTCGGGGGGCGACGCCCGCTCGCCGGCGACTCGGCGCAGCGCGGCGCTCGACGGACGCCGACTGAAGGCGCGGAATCGATACGCGGCCGCCGCGTGCCCGCGCCCGCACTGCCTCATCCTGCCGCCCTGCCCGCGACACACGCGCAGACTATTCACCCTATAGAGGTAAATCCCTTGCGATCATACGTTCAACTCAAGCATTTTAGCATAAACGCCTCATTCAAACTGCACTTTAAAAGTATAAATATTCAACGGCAAATATTAAAAAGTGTACCATTAAAATGAACATCAAAAAGCTGTCACTCATTAGCGCGAAAGTTTAGATTCGTGGCAAATTATGTCGTAGCCCGTAGGTCTATGTAGTCCGTAGACCTTTGTGCCAGGAGTACTCTGTAACGATATTGCGCGCAAACTTTGTCTTCTTCCACAAAATTTTATATTTAGTCATGGTAAAATTAATCGATACTTTGCACTATTAATTAGACCACTTTCGCCGACACTACTTTCGTCATGAATAGGCAGGTTTATACATTTTAAATTACTAGACAATATATTGATAAATATAATACTTATAAAACTGTATTATATTATTTAATATTCGATTCTATAACAGTGTTTAACAAATATTATTTTAAATATAATTTTTCGAATTAATTAATTTATTATAAAAGTTTGCGAATCGAGAAACTTTAAATTTAAAATTAATATTCAGTAAAAGTTATTCCTTTATCAAATCCACCTTTACAATAAATGAAAACTTGATAAAATAAAGGATCTTATATACCTATATAAAGAACCCAGTTTTGCCGAATATTGAAAAACATTCAGCAGTTTTTCCTGAAGCAATCACAAGATTTAATTCTATCAAAAATCCATCAAGGCTAATTTTAAAGGGTGTTTTTATTGACCCTTGATGAGAGGTTAAACGCGTAGGCGTCAGTGACCCACATTGGCAGTCGTCATGCGGCTACACCCTGTGTCTCCGCAAACTTTTCACGTGAATTTTATTCAGACGATAACGTGACGCGCCTAAAACAAAACAACTTTTGATTGCGCATTTCACCCACTCTTTATGGATTGTTTTCTTTGCTATTCATTTTGTAACACTTTAAATAAGAAAATATAGATTTTGGTTAGTGGATATAATTATTTACTAAATAAAGAATTTAAGCAATAAGAATTAAGACGATTTGGTGGTGTTATTTGGAATAATAATTTTAGTTGGACTTATTAACATTTATTACAGCTATGAAGACTCTATTAAGTAAAACGCTAAAATCACGCAGTAAGCATTTTTGTTGCCATCGACTCATCGAAGCTAAAGACACAGTCACCTATGAAATGTTCTATGTTCGAATGGATAGAGGTGCGCGCGAAAATCACTACCACACAGCTTCTACAATCAATAAAGAACATTTCTATTGATTCTTTGTGATTCTCGAGACAATTAATGGATTGATCTTGGTTATCTAAAGACTGTAGAGTTATCTGTTTTTGAAATGTCAAATGTTTGATTTTGGCGCCAATTTACTGCGCGCCGCAATTGCAGTGATAGTAAGTTTTATTAAAATTCGTTACTTTGAATTTGTACTGATAGTACGGCAGGGCTAGACTTGTGTCGGTGCATTTACTTATATATTATGTTGATTTCAACATATTATATAACGCTGAGTCTGTATATAAGATAGAAGTGACGCATAATACGTTTTGAATGTGTATTCCGATAAATAAGACATAATGTTTACTAAAGGTTAGGTTTTTATTAAAGATTTTAATAAATTAAGTTATATTAATACGTATTTGAAAAATAATTTTCATAATTGTTAACATTCTTCTTAAAATTTTAATTATGTACAAATTTCTTACTTTCTATTCACAACTTGTATTTCTATTTTAAACACAGAAGGCCCAGGAGATATATAGGTAAGCTAATCTGTAATCATAGACAACTTATTTTATCCACAAATGCACTCTATGCGTTTGAAAAGTAAACGGCTAATTTGAGAGATAAGTTGATATTGTATAAGCTCGGGTGGGTTATCATGCAGATTGCGGTGAATCAATAGGAGCGACTCGGCCACTGACGACGGATGACGATCAATAGCGTCCCACCGGAGCTGTCTCCGCATTAAAGGGCTTCCTTGAACGCCTTTACACATATCCACTATCTAGCTACTTCATACGTCACTGCGATCCATACTTAGACCGTCTACGGAAACATACTTTTCAAGTAGATATCACTTATTGCAGTATATGTTTTTATTCGACTCACCTGCCGAAAACCTAATATATACGGGATTTATATCTGTATACATATACTTCATCCTTTATTACATGTTTTAAATAAAAATATACTATAAATTTTATATAATCAGATCTTCTGATAACTTTCAAAATTAATTAGTAATTTATAACTTGCAAGAGTATGTATTGATTGCGATTGTCCAATTAACTACGAGGTCCTACGTTCGAACTCCGTGCACTTCTATTTCTATCTGGAAAATTAACTTTTCCTCCTACGCTGCAGAAAAACGTGCCTTACGCAAAATCGATAACATGTGCCTTTCATCACCTCTTATCAGCGTAGTAGATTGTTTTTTTCATGGGAAAGACATGCCACCAATAATAATAAATCGAATCTATGAAATTGTTAGACCTCCCGAAATAACATCTTTCAAAAAGCAGTAATATTAAATACAGCAGGAATAACTTGCCAATTTCCACAAGAAAATAACCCATAATAAACTGTGTTCACTTGGTTTAGGCCCATGTTCAACATTGTACCAGGATCAAGAATCGATCCTAAGCTAAAGTATATACGTATATACACACACAGTTAACAATAATAATGATAATAATAACATTTACATCACAATAACACAGAACAGGATAAAAGTAAGATTAAATAAATGAAAACGAATGATGTAATTGGGCAATCTTATTGCAAAAAGCAGTTTCTTCCAGACAACCCAAACATATCAAACTTAAACCTACACTAAACTATTCAATATAATACATAAATATAGGCAAAAATTAATCAAGGTTTATTGATAGTATGCTGTCAATGGTTTCTTAAATATAAATTTTTTCGTCGAGATCTGCACGGCTATAGACAGAGCATTCCACAATCGAATGGCAGTGACGGTGAATAAGGAATTGAAATATATATTATAATCGTAATTGTTTCAGGATCGGTCGTTTAAATTATACCATCTACTGTTTTACCAACGAAAACAAAAATTGTGGTTTGTATTAAAAAAACAAGCAACTTAATTACGTTTAATGATCAATGAATATACTTCTTCAATATATTATACTTCAAGTTACATAAAATAAATAATTGTATAACAAATTAATCGATAAAAGCTTCCAGGAAGAATTATATTGCGCCACGGAGTATATGAACGGTCAGTCACAGTAAGTACATAGTTACAGTACATTAGGTAAGAAGACACCGTCCGTTCGTCTGGGCCATACAGCCTTTTTTATACCAATCAAACCACCGTGTTACTTTTTTTTTTTTTTTTTTAAAGACAATTCACACCAATTGACCTAGTCCCATGTTAAGCTGGTGAAGCTTGTGTTATGGGTACTAGGCAACGGATATACATACATATTATAGATAGATAGACATATAAATACATATTTAAACACCCAAGACCTAAGCACAACACCAAATGCTCATTGCATCAATGTTCGTCTCAGCCGGGGATCGAACCCGGGACCCATGGATTCGCAGTCAGGGGTACTAACCACTAGACCAATGACTCTTACCGCAGTTTCACGGATATGTTTTTCTCAATAGATGTCGTTCTAGAAAAAATAGATAATCAAACATTTGTGGCCTAGACAAGAACTGTCAAATGCATACGATAGAACCCAACAATCTTACCAGACGAGCAGAAAGATGTAAAAACTTCTAGGAACTACTACTTATGTGATACAGAGTAAAGCCCGTTCCTTGGGTAACGTTTTCTAAGGGTGGCGCTGTGTCTACAAAAATATTTTCATTTGAAACGTTTTAAGAAAACTTTCATATTGTTTCTTAGTTTAAAGTACAATTATTATACAAAAGTTCGATTCACTAATATATTATTGACGTCTAAATGTTCGGCGCCAAATTTCTGAGGTGAAGCAGGAAGATAAAAATAAAAGACTTTATATCAAAGCAAAATATTTAATTTATAACGTAACTTTAAAATAAAATTCCTATCATAATCTAATTCAACAATATAGTCATTCGTCTCAATTTTTAAGACAAATTATAATTCAAATAACTAAATATATTACTCTCTATAATTTAAAACTAAGTTGAAACTATTTTTAAATAATTTATATTTCACTAATGGCATTCCACAGAAAATAATATCTTCTAACATAGATAACAAAATACGCGCCCTTAAAACTACAAAATTGAGAAATAACAAAGTGGTAACATAGTTTTAAACTAAACAATTAGGTCTATATTCAAGTATTTTGTCAATCTTAAAACTAAAAAAAAAGTAACATCTGTGATCTTTTGGCACAGAGTAGATAACTTGGCAGTATAGAACGAAAATATATCGATTAATCCAAAACAGTCAATTGTCATTTATGTGTTGACAGTTTTTTACAGACAAATCTTTATGAGAACATATCTGAAACTGTAAATACCCTTGGTTTTCATTCACATTCGTTGCAACTATCTAAAAATAAATCACTAAAGTACTCATCTATCCCTTTTCCTCACAGCGTAAAGCGAAATTGTCGAATGAGTACTTTATTTACATAAACACATAGATTTGCAGTTTCTGGTGGTAAAATTTAACTTCTATAAGGATCCTGTACCGGATGTCTGAGTTTAGGATTATATAGTATTACTTGAAATATGGTTTATTCTGTCGATAAATTTTAAAATAATTAGGTTATCTACAAATAAAATATATTTATAATAATTCGCCATTAAAACCATAAGCTCAGAATTTTAAACACAGATTTACTACCGAAAACTTACATTAAGTGAATGCATTTCCCGCACAATTTTACACAACAGAAATTACTCTAGTATTATTCGGGTAATTTTCACTTAAAAGAGCAGCATTAATTTTACACAATTTATAAATACTGATAATTTCATA